TGCTGGGATTGGAGGCCTTCGCGACGCTTCTTCAGCAAACTCTCTTCGCGCTTGCTTTTTCGGATCTCGACCATGTTGTCCTCTCTCCTACGACGACCTTCCTCTGCGTCCACCGCCACTTTGTACCGGTTCCGGCGGACCTCGGTCCTCGCGCTCGGCCTCAGCGACATGTCGTATGCTTTGACTGCGTCTCACTGGGAACAACCCAAAAAACTGATCGTGCTCTGATAGGGACCAACCGGTCGTAGACGGAGAAGGAGAGCAGTTAAAAACCCTAAAAAATGGACTTTTCTGAGTATTCGAAAGAGAGAGAGAGAGAGGGACTGAGAGAGAGGGTTTGTATATGCACACAATTGGGGGTTGTGATTTTGATTTTCTTTTTTTTTTTTTGGATTTTTTTTTTCGCTGAAGTTTTTTTTGGGAGTTATTTTTTTTAGTCGAAATAATAACCGTGGGTTACTGTTTATTATTAGGCGCTTTTTTTTTTATAGCAAGAGACTTTTTTTTTGTCCAAAAAAAGAAAAAGAAAAAGAAAGGTTCTTTTTACTTGTAATTATCTTTTGGCCTTTTATCTAAAAAAGAAAAGAAAATTATCATGAGATTTTGTTTTTTGTTTTTTGTTTAAATATAAAAAATTACAACATATTCCTCGCCGGGTCGAGTGATATATCTATAATTGAGAGTGTGGGTTAGATTGGATATAAAAATTATTTGAAAATTTGAATTATAAATGTTAAAGATAAGGGAATACAGTAATTTCATGCATTATCAATTAATCTATATATATCTATATATATAAAGTAAGAGGTAGAGAATTGTGAAACATTCAAAATACCAGAAAATGCCATTAGTTAATCCAAACATTAAGAATTAAAATTATTAATTAAATGAAGATAATATGATAAATTCATACTTTTTCATATTAGAAATATCAAAATTAAAAGAAAAATCAAATAATGAATCTTATTTTTATGGAACACAATAACCCATTATCTTTTTTAATTCTAAAATAAATTTAAATATTTTTTTTTAAAAGCATCTCGCAAGAGCGGAAGTGCGTGCAAAGATGCTAGTATATATAAAGTTAGAATAATGCTTGTTACCATATTTGTATACCATATCTTTATACCATCTTATATGGCAGTAGAGGTAGACAACCACATCAATTAAAATTATTTAATATTTTCTTTTCTTCTATAATTTATTCCAGTATTTATTTTTCTAATTGCCTTAATTAAAATACACTTCATTGATTTAATTGATGTAACATATAATATGGACATGCCACATTATGTGGTATAGAAATATGGAATAAAAATGTGATAAGTGTAGCATTACTCATTACTCATAAATTTAAAGGTAGAGAATGGTAAAACATTCAAAATACTAGAAAATACATTTGATTAATGCAAACATTAAGAATTAAAATTATTAATTAAATGAAGATAATACGGTAAATTCACACTTTTTCATATTATAAAAATTAAAATTAAAAAAAAAATCAGATAATGGATCATATTTTTATAGAACACAACTACCCATTATATTTTTTAATTCTAAAATAAATTTATAATTGAGAAAGGCTAGTATCTATAATTGAGAGTGAGGATTAGATTGGATATGAAAACTATTTAAAATTTGAATTATAAATGTTAAAGATAAGGAAATATAGTAATTTTCACGCATTATTATTATTATTATTGGAGTATATTTGAAATTTGTGACGTCAAACGGTACCATTTGTAGGGGCATTATTATTGTGGATCATGTGACCTCATTGGCCAGAGAGTCATCAAATTTATCCAAATGAATCAAATTGGATCCGATCACAATCAAACATGATTAAATATTAATTGGGTTTAAATCAGTCTCATTGACAACACTGGCCATTAATTTATGTAATGTAATCAGGAACCATACAATACAAAGGCAGTGCCGTGTAGTGTATTGATACTTTTCTTTTTTTTGAAGAAGTATGAGGATTGAACTTGAGTGTAAGGGGTGGAAACACGAGTTTGACCAATTGAAGTAACCCACATTTGCTTGAGTTGAGAAATCTTAGATGAAGGTGGATTGATTATTAAGCTGCTAAAAAAGGGAAGGCTTTTAAATGACAAATGGCTGGCAAAACTATATTATGATTTATATGTTCACATTTGTGTATATAATTTACATGCAAAAGATGGAACTTGTGCATTGAGCTTAGCTAGAAGCACAAACAATCTTTTTGCTCTAGAAATTCAAATGTTTGCTAAGAGCGGCTGGAGGCTGGTGATCAATGTTGTGTGTTTCTCTGAAAATGGGGTTTTCTCTAGGAATGGTTGAGATCTGAGGTGAGGTTGGTGGAGATGCATAGAGTATGGAGGCCTCAACGATTTCTCGCCGGACGGTTTCTTGGTGCAGGGAGATTCTTTGTGCCCGCAATGCAGTCAAGTATAACCCAGCAGCAAGCAACACGGTGGTCAAGGCAAACACTCCAGCTACAGAGAACACACCTTCTCTGAGAACAAGGCAGCTGGGTCTTGGTCTTGACCATTTTCTCAAGTGCCCTGACTCCACACTTAGCCCAATCAACAACAAGATCTCCCCAACAGCAAAGGAAACCCTAATCAACATAACCCAAATGAGTGTTTGTGAGTTTGAATTAATGTCTTGATGCACTTCAATTGATCTTTGACATGATCCAAAATCAATAGAGTAAATTGTAGTGACGGTCCCTGAACTATTACTCGATTCTCACTTGGAGTTCTATAGAATTCAAAAACTCTGGACTAAAGTGAGAGCCAGGTAATGGTAATAGTTGAGAGACTATGGCTACAATTTGCTTGAAATCAAAATATGGACTGACTAAAATTGATTGGCATACCAAGTTGAAACAAAGAAGAAGGCAGCTTGCCATTTCAAACTCTTGGCAGGACCAGAATGATCAGGCTCCCAAATAACCAAGACTGATGGAGGGGAGTTGCTAATTGCAATCAACATGTATGCATGTTCCACCACCATGATGATTGCCAGCCCCAAAAATGCACTGGCTGCACATAATAGCGGCGATTTCCCACTGCCGCTGTATACGCATTGGTATTTTCCTCCCTCATCCCCTTCATCACTGCTGATCTGCCATGTGACCTATGAAATCATCAAACCACAAAACTTATATCACTTTCCTTTTGTTTTGGTAATATTAATGTTTCGTAAAGAAATTGTTGTGACAAAAACATGTTTCCTAGTACCTTAGAACGAGTGACTTCAGCAATTAGGCATAGAATGAAGCAGAACAGGCCACAGAGAATGGTCAAGACCGTGAGAAAAGCACCCGTTTTGCTACCAAAGCCGGTGCCGGGACGACTTGGTGCAAGGTCTGCGTGTGTGACTGCCATTCTCTTTGCCATTTTGGAGTCGAAAACGGCTAGGATTATTCATGCAGGTCAAGAAGAAGAGAAATAGGGACTGGAAAAAAGAGAGGGAGGAGGGGATTTCAGAATTGCTTGTAGCAAAGGTTGCTTAAAAGGCTCAAGATTCTTAAAAGACTTCGCTAGGAAGACATTCTGCTCATTTGTTCATACTTCAACTACTGATTTGGCAAAGCATTTTCAATTGTTCCACAATTAATCTTACGGCGTTCATATCTAACATCTAACAGTGCATAATCAGCCACATCATTCAGTAACCAAAAGCTTGAAAAGCACAGAATTATCAAAAATTGCCAAGTCAGTCTCAGTACGCGCTAGATATATGTTGCATGCATTAACTGCATATCTTCTTTTTCAGAAAAGAAAATGAAAATGAGCTTTTGTTTGCATCATCTGGTTCTTAGCCATATAATAATTTTGTTTCATTTCTTAAGACCCCAAAGAAACCTTTACAGTGCATGGTTTTTCACCAAAGGGAACAATATATGCAAAGCTGCTTTTGGATCTTCCCCACAGATTAAACACCGGCTAGCTAATCCTATAATTATGTCCTTAATTGCTTCCAGATAGACCAAACATGATTAGATGGACGGTCACTAATTATTCCTCATAAGCTTTGAAATTCTTTGGCTTTTAGCATCAAATGTTGACAAAGAAAGGCATCAAAGGTCAGTGGGGTATGGTTGAGCTCTTCCACCTCAAAAAAAACTTACCTATAACGAGGATAACACTGTTTTGCTATCTCAGGCCAATGACACAATGATACGTGGAAAAGTTATCTTACATTTCATTGCATTATTGGCCGGGATAACAAAAAGTGTTATCCCCGTTGCATGAGAGTTTCTCTCTTTCCACCTGCATTCATGTGGGCAGACGTTCGAAACCCTCAGACACCCAATAAATATTTGTGTAAACCCCCTCCCCCAATAGCTTATACTCCCAAAAAAGAAAAAAAAAAAAAGAAGAAGAAGCATCAAAGCTCATTTCTGGGGTGGGGCCTATGAAAAGGCCAAAAGTGCTACCAGTAAAGAACAAATCACCAGAGATGAATTATAGACCAGGGAAGAATATTGGATATTGGTTTGCATTATATTTGATGATCTGGTTTTATCATATATATAATACTACTGTTAGTACTACTACTGGTGGTGAAGAATCAAAATCACACATGCCTTTTCTTTTCTGTTATTGGCCAAGTTGGCCTTGGTTAAAAAAATAAAGCTTCTTTTTTTCTTGTTTACACCACCACAAAACAAGGGAAGCTCTCTTTAATTGCTCTCTTTATGATGCTGCAAGCTTTTCCATGCTCTTCACTCTTATGCTACATTAGTAGGCAATAACAAGGACAGGGGACTGCCTTGGTGCTTTCTTTTATTAACATGGAAGACAAAAGAAAAAATATTTGAAATAGAAACATATTCCATGTGTAATAATTTGATGAGGACATTTGTCACGCCCTAATTCGAGAATTTTTAGCTATTTCCCGGGTACGACTCACACCCTAACCTCAGAATTAGTTTTTCCCCGGGGATGCATTTCTTTCTTTCTTTTGTTCGAATCTAGGTCAGATCTTTGCTCATCTTTGCTCTATGAGGGAACTTTGTCTTTTTCATTTCAGTATAACTGAATGTGGAAGGCACAAAAGTGCACGTCGGAATACATTGAAATATTGACAAAACAAAAACGTTGAAGAAACAATATACTGCTATTCCTTGCTACATCTAGTACTATATCCAAACCTTTACAAGTGCACTAGTGGATCCATTCAAAATCTCACCTCCCACTATTGGACACTCAGACAGCAAGGCCCTGAACAATGCCGTCGCTTTCTACTAATTTCAACTATATCTCTTGGCCTTCTTTCTTTAAGCTTTCCTAAAGTAACAGATTCATGAGAATTTCCTACTGTAAAGCGAATAATTCCATCAGCCTCTTCCACATCTTGTAGAATCAGTGATTCAGATGGACAATTATACGCAATGTCGATCGCATTATGTGTTGTCCTAGGAAGGTCTTTAACGCGTGATAATGCCATTGCAATTTGCTCGCAAGCAGCATCAAGGCGATCCTCTGTTTCAACTGACTCCGTAACAAGTGTTGAAGCCAAGGACTCCAATAAGTGAATCTTCTCAGAATTGTCTTTCATAGTAGTAGCAGTCTCAAAGGTGTTAGTGGAAGATGAACTGACATTGCACCAACGGGTGGGTAGATACTGGTCTGGAATATGAAAGCAATTATTAGTTGACAGGACACGAAGAACATGCCTACAAAGGATGCCGGAGAACTCAAACTGATAGCAGCTACAGCTAATGTGGCCTTGACAAGGAATCCAAACCACTTTGCACCCTCCATCTTCCTCAGTATGGTGTCTGACCTGGAAACAACCTTCATCTACCAGAAGAGATGCATACTGTGGAGCCAATACAAGTTCCTCTTGAAGTTTTCCGAAGGCATAAGGAGTAAGAACAGAAGCAGCATGTGATTCAATTGGCGAACCCGTTTTAAGGCACACTCTCTGCATTTTCCTTTGCATCTTTTGCTTTGCCCCAACCCGATCATTATAATCAACAATATCAGCTACCTGCAAAAGGAAGTTTAAAAGTGTAGGCATGTTTATTTAACATAAGAACCAAGGGCTGAACAAGAAACAAAGACAAGGTTAAGTAGTTTAGAAGCGAACCAAAGGCCAAAAAAGGAAAAATAACATAAAAGAAGAAGGTTACGCACTTGCTCTACAAAACGATCTAGTTGGGACTGTGCACTCAAAAAACGTTGGATAAAAGCATTAATTGATTCTGCCTGACTTGTACTCATCATTTCTGCAAAAAAGCAATGCCTCAAATATGCTAAAGCCCAAAAATTCCGCAGCGCATATAAGCTGATTACATGCTTATTTGTGTGCAGTCCAAATTCATTCACCATTTCCCTCCATCTTTCTTCAAAGTCTTTCACGAAGTCCAGATTAAACAGCCGGTGAAACTCAGCTTTCCAATCATCATATCGAGATCCAAGAAGTACAGAAAACCAATCTGAGAACTTTGCGACGATGTGCCATATACAAAAGGCATGCTTTGATTGGGGCAAGTCAACAGCAATAGCCTCTTTCAGCCACATGTTATGGTCAGTTAACATTGTCTGTGGAGCCTTTCCTTTCATGAACCCCAAAAATGTCTGTTTAAACATCATAGGTATTAGGAACAAATAGAGACTATAAAAACGAAACTCAGTAAGAAGAGAATAAAATTAACCACAAACCTTAAAGATATGAGAAAGAAATTCTGGTTACTAAACCTTTAACTAAGACCAAACCACCCAACCAAACCCTCGGTCAAGGCCACAGAATAGAAAGCTCCCTTATAAAATTAAACCTCATCATGGTTCCCATATCACCAAATTAATGGGAATAAAAACTTTAGAGTAAATCCTGAAAGAATCTCTCTGTTTTCTAAATTTTTTTTTTTAAAAACATTTTTATTATTTGTTTTATAAACCTCTACGTATTATTTGGCTCCCTGATCTAAAGTAAAATTTAGATTGAGAAGCAGATCCCAAGCATAAGTTTTTATGTTGTGCCTCACAGCTAAATTAAGATGCAAACCTAAGATTATCGAGGCTCAAATGTGCCCAAAAAATATGGTGCTCAGTTCCATCAGGAATATGCCAATTAGCTGCTTACCTTCAATGCCCAGGAAAAGGACTGAATATTCTCATCCCGCAGAAGCACACAGCCAAAGAAACAAGTCATTCCATGATTATCCACACCAAGCCAAATTCCTAACAGCATATCATAGGCATCCAAACGATGGGTTGTGTCAAAAACCGTTGTGTCTCCAAATGCCTCGTACAACTGAACAGATGAAGCATAAGACCATGCAATATGCTCCAGCCTGTTATGACCGTCTATTTTAAATTCATACTTGAAATTAGGGTTTTCATCTTTCATCTTTTTGCACATTGCTATAAGATCAATTGCATCATTATCTCTATCAACATTTCTAAAAGACTGTAGTAGGTTTCTCACGTCTATCTCTGTAAATGGTAAGCAACCTAGTTTAACACCTTTCTCCAGTTCCATCAATCTTAACATTTGACGCACTGACATCCCAGCTTTTGCAAACATGCAAATCCGACTCTTGTCATCAGTAGATATGGAACAGTAAGCAGGAAGGAGACGGACTTCATTGGATTTCAATAGTTCGTGGTTATGGATGTTGCTAAAGCCTGTAACACGCCATTCGGGGACATCAAAGTCTGCCCGCTTAACAATCCGCATGTATGCTTGACAACCACAGCGTGATGATTTGCGATTTCTTTGCATCTTTCCATCTTCAGATGGCTTCATCTGTGGATATCCACCACGATGACAAGTGAAATCTCTTCTTGTCACTCCCCGACCAACACCATCCTTGCCTCGAGTACGATGACGCCTAATTGAAAAGCCACATTGTTTTGCAAAACTGCAGTAGAATTCGTATGCAGCTTCTTGAGAAACAAATCTTTGTCCAACAAAGGGAACAAGATTCACAGAAGTCTGTCGTGACAAGATCGTGTCTTCAGCTGTTTCCTCTATAGTGCCAATATCATCTTGGGATAAATCCTCCATCCCTAGACTTGTTCCTTCTGACATCCTTCAGCAATAGATGAATGAAACAACAGTTATAAACCTACACGAAAAACTTCAATTTCTTAACAGCATGCTACCTAAAATTCTTCTACTCTCAAGGATGTAGGTGATATAATAGGCAGATTGCAATGCTGGTGGAGACAAACAGATATTAAAAAGCATTGTGAAAATAGGATGAAACTTCGATGGCTTCCTTAAACCACCTTAATCATGACCACACACACGACACTGGTCTGCTATAACTCCTTCAACTTTTCTTCATTTATTTGTTGTTTGGCCAAGTTGTTCAATAATATCAGTCTTAGAGGTGATTAGGCAGCCAAGAAAAATGCAGCAGTGGAGAGCTCAATATGGTAGTATAGATTTCAAATAACATACCAGAAGCAAAGGGGTAAAACTTAAATATGATAGCATAAACATATACAACCTTAACCCTAAACCAAATTAAGATGCCAATCCAATAATGTAACACCTAATAGCCAAAGTAGCATGACCTTGATCCATTAAAACATTCATTTAGAATACCTTTGGTCAACAAAACAAATAAAACTTACTTGGAGCTATGATCTCCAACTCATTTGGATTTCTTCAAACTCTCTCAAGAATCTCATATGGGTTTCTTCAAAATAAATTCATAACACAAATACAACCTGCTCTTCTTCAACCTCCTCAACATCCAAATCATATCTCCAACCCACCTGAATCAAACAGAACAAAGAAAAATCATAGCTTACCCATTACAAAATCAAGCCACCAACAGAGAAACAAAATCGCATGGATGAACATGAGATGCAGTCCTACACGAAATTATAACTTATTTTAATTCAAAAATCAATACTCATAAATTTATATACCCAAAATGTGTATCTAACGGTCAATAACTATCTGAAAATTAAAGAGCGTCAGTGAAAAGAAAGAAAGTGGCGGGGAGGCAAGCGAGGGGAGAATAGAGCGCATCCAAGGGAGAACGATAACCATTTAGGCAGATATGAGCTATCGTGCGCTGTGTGGATGCACGAGGTTATCGAGCGCACACGTTCGTTCTGAGCCGTTGGATTGAGACCGACTAGAATGGGCTTGACTTGGGCCCGTCATTTGCGCGGGTTTGGTTTGCCTGCGCACGGAATCAACGGGTGGCACGAGAAGAGCGTGTTGAAGTGTGAGCGCTAGTGGTCACGGCTTACGTTAGAGCAAACCCTAGAAGTCAAAAATCTCCTGGTTGTAAAAAATGGGCCTGACTGAAGGCCTAGCAGTTTAAAGAGAAACAACCCCAGAAGATTGTCCAAGTAACAAACAAGTGGGTCGGGTTCTCGTGGGGATCTAGTTTATCTTCAGGGATTCAATACATCCAAATCTACGCAGGAGAACCTTTTTGTTTTTGTTTTTGGTTTTTTTAGTACAACGATAGTCTTGTTAGGTCATCCTCAATGGTTGGGGCTCTAAAAAGGGTCATTTAGAGCTCCGATGGAATCTTTGAGGCTCTAAAGGAATCACTCTCACAACAGAAGGGCTCTATATTCGATATAATTTTATATACGTGTTATTTTTAAAATAAAAAAATTTATTTGCTTTAATGCATATTATAACATGTTAGTTTTTTTTTTTGTGTGAACATTTCAAAAAAACAAATCAAAATTTGGACAAGATTTGAAAATCTTTTCTATGAAAAAAAAAAAACTTGATTGTTGCCTTGAAAAAAGGCAGAGCCACATCCGTCAAAAAACACAAAAACAAACCCATCTAGCCCATCCCCTCTCATTGGTCACATTAAATAAAATATAAAACAAAGAGAAGCAATCATTGGTCAAGAAGAGAGTATCATGAGTTGTAGTCACAAGGCAAGTCACCAACAACACATATGGGTTGGCAGCTTTTCTATATGTGGGCCCCATTCGGTTTCAGGGGCTTCAACCATGAACATAAATATGGGTATAGCTCCCATGGGGCTCAATCATTTAAAGCCTCAAAACTGAACCACTGGGGATGACTTTTTTGCTTCAGTTGCTATATATTGCAGCCCAAGGGTGGTGCAGCCCACTTTAGAGCCCCCATTGGGGATGGCCTTAAGATTTCAAAGAGACGGGCATGTGACCCACCACTAGCAACATCGATATTGTTCCCAACTTAATCACCTATTTAGTAGGTGTGAAGTTTTATACAAAAGGCCCCGATATTATTAAGAGTGGAACCACTTATTATAAGTTGTAATTTATTTAGTCAAGTTTCCGATGTGAGACTTTATAATCTTTAACACTCCTCCTCACGTTGGACCACTTTTTTAGTGGGTCACATGTGTAACCAATTCCACATCGGTCACCCTTTTTTTTTTTCTTTTTTTTTTTTTGTGGTGTTGAAGAATATAAAGTCCCATATTGAAAACTTGACTAAATAAATTACAACTTATAATAAGTTGTTCCACTCTTAATAATACCAAGGCCTTTTGTGATAAAACCTCACACCTACTGGGCTTTGTAGATGGTTAAGTTGAGGACAATATCGGTGTAGCTAGTGGTGGGCCAAAGGTTCGTCCCTCTAAAATCTTAACATGGTATCAGAGCGGGTTTGTTGACTGGGCCCGATTAAACCTAAATCAAACAAAAGCCCCAAATTGAACCAAAATCAAAACACACTCAAAAAATTTTGCTTAAAAAAAAGGATGACCAATGTGGAATCGGTTACACGTGTGGCCCACTAAAAAATGGTTCTACGTGAGGATGAGTGTTGAAGAATACATAATCCCACATTGGAAACTTAACAAAATAGAAAGTCTCATATAAAACCTAACACCTGCTAAATAGGTGGTTAAATTAGGGACAATATCGATATTGCTAGTAGTAGGCTAAGGGTCCATCCCTTTGAAATCTTAACATGGTATCAGAGCGGGTTGGTTGACTGATCCTGAATTGGGCCTTTACCCTTACCCAGTATGTGGTCCCTTACCCAATATGTGGTGTTTACATGTTAGGTTTGAATGTTTACCCATACCTCTTACCCAATATGTGGTGTTCACGTGTTGGACTTGAATGATTGACTCCGATGTGGACTTGGCTCCACATGTGGCTCACTATGTGGTGGTCTCATGTGAGGGGGCGTGTTGAAGAATATAAAGTCTCACATCGAAAACTTGACTAAATAAATTATAACTTATAATAAGTGGTTCCACTCCTAATAATACCGAGGCATTTTGTGATAAAACCTCACACCTACTGGGCTTTGTAGATGGTTAAGTTGGGGACAATATCAATGTTGCTAGTAGTGGGCCACTGGCCCGTCTTTCTGACTTTAACAAGTCTAAACTATATTGAGATGGAGGTTTTTCAAAAACACACACACACACTACCACAATGCTTTGGGGGTTTGAACATGAGACAATTAGTCTGCAAGTCAAGATCATTTTTCTATTAGATTAGACTCTGTTGACACGAGAATTTTTTACACGCAAATGATTTTATTTTTATATAACTAATTATATTTGTATGCAAACTTTAGGTGACCAACCATTTACTGACTAATTTTTCCGAGTGATGACAGTAAGTAGCAACCTAAAGAATATACAGTGTAAGGGACTTGTAACCAAGTGATTAGTGCATTTATCTTTGCACACGAGGTCCTAGATAAAATCCCTCATCCCCAATATTGATTTTTTTTTATTTATAAAAAGGAATATACAGCTCCTATTTTTAGGATGTATATATTTGCATATCTCTTTATATGAGAATATTCTCACTTGAAAATGAATTCTATATGTAAAAGGAAGACATCAATTTTCATATAGTCTCAGTTTGTCCCATGAAGTTTCAAATGACACAATTTCCCCCCTGAACTTCCACTACGTGACCAAAATTGCCTCATTCTGTTGGTTTTCATATAAAAACTGTTAAATTAGCTGAGGTGGCATGGGTATTTTGGTAAATTTAACTATTAAAAAGTGAAAAAATCAAATCAAATATAAAAAATGCTTGAAATTATTTAAAATGAGTAAAAAATTAAGATAAAAATATCTCCATTTTTTTTTCTCCCTCAATCGTCAGCTCCTACCATATTTTCCCTCATCTCAACCAGCCCCACCGCCCAACCAACCCCAGCAACCACCTTCCTTCTCCCCATTCATCTGTCAAAACAAAGGTACCAAAAAAAAACCCAGCAACCTTTCCTCCTTCTCTCTCCCTTCCCTCCTCTCTCTCTTTGGCAACCAAATACCCAACTCGCCTTCCACCCTCGACTCCTCTCTTCAACGTCATCAAACCCTAACCAACAATTCACCTTTTATCTCTTTCCTCATAATTCTCTCTCTTTCTTTGGCAGCCACCAAAGGAAATCTGGACTGCCACATTGTTTCCTTCTTTTCGACCGAGGCGGCCTGCGGAAGGAACTTTTGGTCATTCTTCTTTTAAATGTTGGGCATGCCACCACCAAGCCCCGAATTCGGGCTTGAATAGAATGTGAGTTGATGGATGTGTTGCGCTTCTAACTTCTGATCAAACGATTGATCGGCCAAGCAAGGAACCTCATCTTGACCTAGGTTCTTTCACTTCATCGGGCTCGAGGATGGTTAAGCTTCGTACGAATGTTTTTGTGATTTTTAGGGTTTTGAGTAAAAATAATACAATTAAATTAAATGTGCGTTTAAACGTAAAGACAATAATTAAAGTGCGATAAAATAAATCAAGGCGATAAATAAAGCAAGAACGAAAATAAAAGCGATAAGAACAATAAAGTAAAATAAACTTGAAATTAAACTTAATTGAAGTGCGATAACAATGAAAAGCAAATCAATGGAAATAAACTTGAATTTAATGACAAGAAAATATAAATTGAACAATAAATTAAACATACATTAAAAAAAAAGGAAGAACTCACTACATTAGGTGCTTGAAAAGTAACATCCTAAGTCTAGGAAAAGAAAAGTATGAGACGAAAGATAAGTTTGTTTGTCTGATGTTGTATGCCTTCTGCCTTCGTTTGATGAAGTTTATATGGGACGTCCGTTGGCCCATGGGCTGGCCATTGAATGGCCAAATGTCGACTCTTTTAAAACTCTTTCCTTTTGAAGCCCCCAAAATCCGTAGATCATGTTGGCGGAGATATTATGATTGCTTGGGTTTCTCTCGTTTTGGAAATTTCTGAATCGTCATCAACCTTCTTGATTTATTTCCTTGTGAGGCCTCCGTCACGTATACACTGACCTCCAGAAATTTTGGGCGCGAATTTGTGGCTTGGGCTTGCACCTCCGAGATTTCATCTCGACATTTGGTGGAACCTCATGACCTTTGAGTTTTTAGAATTCTAGAGTTGGCTGACCATCCACCAAGGTGGGTGGTATGAGAGCTCTAAATATTTGGATGTTGGACTTGGGCCCACATTGGATTATGTTTGAGTTCTCAAAATATTCGAATATTGGGAACTCGACGGACATACCTCCCTCCGAACTTCAACTTTCTCGGCGGAAATACCTCCTGTCGAACTTCAACTCCCTCGACCCAACTTTACTTGCCCAAGTGTTGCGAGGAGGGTGCCCGAGTGCGCAAGGATAAAATCCACCCCTGCCCAACATTTTGCAAAAGGAGTGGCCGACCAAGGCATTTAAGGAGTGCTCGACCCACCTTTTTGAGAAGTGCCCGACCACTTTTACAAAAGGAAGTGTCCGACCATATTTTTGAGAAAGCACCATGTTCTTTGAAGAAAACACATCGGCTGTATTTTTGATAAGGCACCATGGCCTTTGAAGAAAACATATTGACCGCATTTTTGAGAAGGTATCTTGGCAGCTAGGATTTCTCGGCCGCTAGGAATTCTTTGGCCGCTAGGAATTATCGACGGCGTAGGAATTCTTCGGCAGCTAGAAATTCTTCGGCCGCTAGGAATTCTCGGTCGCTAGGAATTCCTCCTTGGCAAAATGGGTGAATTTTGACCACCCCCAAACACACATATGCGAAATCTGAAGTCAATTTAGTGATTTTGTTTGTGGGTTTGAGCCTTTTGACAATTGGGGGGAGGGGGTTGACGGGAGAGAGAGATAAGGGAGAAGGTGGGGTGGGTTGGTTGGGCAATAAGGCTGGTTGAGATGAGGGAGAAGGTGGTGGGGGCCGACGATTAAGGAGAAAAAAAAAGGAGGCATTTTTATCTTTATTTTTTATTTTTTATTTGAATTTTTTATTTTTTAATAACTTTACCAAAATAACCATGCCACTTCAGTTGTTTATGGCTCGTTTGGGAGTGATTCTAGATATGCCAGAATCACTTCTAGGGAGAACCACCTCTCATGTGATTCTCCATATAATCACTTTAAGTGATTTTAAGTGATTATTAGCAGAAGCACCTCCCATGTGCTTCTCCATAAAATCACTTAAAACTGCTTAAGGTGATTATTTGGAGAAGTAATTCTCCATAGAAGTACTTTGATTATGGAATGGAAGTTCAGGGGAAAGATTGAGTCATTTGAAACGTCATGAGGCAAATTGAGACTATTTGAAAGCCAGAGGGGACATTTCAACAAATAAACCTTAGGGATAAAATAGTACATACACAATTTATTTAAATTAGAAAAAATAAAAAAAGAACCTATACTGCAATTGTTCATGAAATTAGGAGAAGTTCGTTATCCATAAAATAGGAGACAACTACTTTCACAAATTACCTTTAGTGCATTCATAATATGTTTAAATTGAACTAGCCCCAATTGGTTTTTTTCCTTTTTTTTTTTTTTTGAATTAAAAAAGATAATGGGTAATTGTATTCCATAAAAATAGGACCCATTATCTTATTTTTGTTTTCAATTTTAAATTTTGCCTTATATATTTAAATTGAATTAAATAAAAAAGAAAAGAAAAGAAAGAAGTTGCCCTACATAAAACTAGGAGACAACCACCTTCAAAATTGTAAAGCATTTCGGATATAAATAAAAAAAAAACAAGTTTTAAAACTCAAATTTTGAAGATAAAAAAATAAAGTAGGAAAAAAAATTATAATTAACATACGTGTGGTAAGAGGCTAGTTAGTTGTATATAAAATTAAACATTACATATCTTTGTATATATATATCACATACAAGCAAGATAAAAAAATTATTTTGTAGGCGTTTGTACTATGCTTTTTTATATGATAAAGGCTCTTTGCAGTGAAAACTTGACTAAAGACGACAAGATCAGCTCCATGGATATCCGATCAGAAAGTACAGCAACCATTGTTTCCACAAAACTAGAGATTCAAAAGAAGTCCCTGAGAACCAAATTTGGTAAATAGTAGGAATCAACAGGAAGCGCATAAGCTAAAGCTGCCGCCGCGAGAAGAAAATAAAGGCAGTGGCACTGGCACGTATATGATGTATGTATGATTTGATTTGATCTTTGGCCAATAATTTACCATAACAAACAAAAAAAGCAAACCAACCTACCTATATGGTTTAGGCCCGCCTAGCCTCACCACCAATTGTGGAGGAGATGAAGAGTTTGGTGGACCACCCTTTGAAACCTTTACTTATATTTATATTATGTGGAATCCTCTTCGCGGATGTTACATGCCACATATTCGTCATGATGCATGCGTGTTCCTCTTGGCTAGCTAGGGCCTTCATTTCATGCCCTTCCGGCCACGTGGTTTGCCGACAGAAGGCTGTCGAAAAAAACCTGGCTTGTTGCAAATGCATACATACGAAAACTAGAAGTAAATTACCTCGTATCTATATGCATAATTTGTTGGGAAATTTATAGAAAGTTAGGCCATGTACAGCAATTGGTGTACTATGATCATATGTAAGAGCAGAATCAGATAAGGTGTGATTTGATTTAATTTTAAGAGGGGGAAAGTTTGGGACGAATCTATGGCTTCAACCCTCCGGCCCCTACCTGCAGAGGCAGCTGCTGCTGCAGCAATCGTATCTTTTTGCCTTTTTGGTGTTTGTCGTCTTTTAGGCAATTGCTTTCAACGCTTTTATCGAGGGCTGGCTGCCCAATAAACAAGGCAGGAATAATTTTGTACTACGTTCACATAGAGCTATATAGCTCTAGCCTCTTGCTACTTGATTTGATCGATCAAAATGTAGCATGCACACCAACTATATCATCCATCCATCCATCCATCCATCCATCCATGTCGATGGATATGCTTTGTGGAAGAGACGAGAATCCTTCTCTATTGTGTTTAACTTGTGTTTCATTTCTTCTAATTTGCACTTACTCCGAGCATTAGCTCTAGTTTATTTCTAATAAAGGAAAAGACGATATCATTTAGTGAATAAATTTGACAATCCTTCTATTATTTGTGTGTATATTGTGCATTCCAACTTCAATCCGTAGTGTTTGCATGGTAGTACCATTGGCACATTTCTTGGGAAAAATAAGGAGTCAAACTCAGACAACACTAAGAGAGAGCAAGGGAGAATAATATAACTAATCCGTCTTGGAATTAATCATATGATTCACATATATAATTAATGTAACGATTCATTGAAGATCGTATTATATGCAAAACTCACATTAATGTAACTTTTATGAAGTATTTGAAGACTTTTAGGAATTAATTGAATTCATTGTCCATGTCATTAATGAGAAATCTTTATGCTCAGATTTATATATTATATACGTCGTCAATACTTTCTTATTTTATTTTATAAAAAGCGATAATATTTTATTAATAATATAAACAAAAACAAATACAAAACAACTAAGGTGATGAATATGGATGCAACTGTTCCAGTGACCAAATACAACAACAAGTTAAATTGATATGGAAAGAACACGCACAACCCAAAAAATAATTAAAATCCCCAAATCAGCAACTAGAAACACATCATACAATAAAGATTTGCGAGCAACGGTAGAAACAACCAATCTGTATCGAAAGCCAAAACCCAAAAGGAAATAAAATATCCTAAACAAAAAACAAACAACATCAATATCCTAAAAGAAAGATTATTATTGCAACCTTTTTTTTTTAAACATACTTTAAAAATCTTCCAATTGTTTGAAGTCTTACATAAGGGGAACTCTTAAAAGTAAAAACAGTAATAATCTTTCTATGACACTTATATAAGGGCAACCATTTTGTTTTCATCTTTCAGTTTTCGTTTGCACTTCTTTTGAAAACTAAAAAAAATTGAAAACTTGTTTAATAAGAGCCCACTTGATAATCATTTCAGTTTCTAATTTTCATTTTTCATTTTAAGAAATTGAAAATAGAAGACTTGTTTGGTAACAATAATTTTAGTTTTCAAAAAAACTAAAATCTTTTTAAAAGTTGTTTGGTAATTTATTTCAGTTTTATGTGGAACTCAGAAGTGGATTTTTTAAGGACAAATTGTGAATTTGAGATCATAGAATGAAAGTGCATGTTATAAAGTTTGTAGTATATTTCGGTGAATTCTTTGGAGTTAGGATGATTTTTTTTTTGTTGTTGTAAATTTAGATATGGAGGCCCCAAGGATTAGATTGAGCCTACAGTTGAATGTAATAGAATTTGTTTTATGTTTTCAAAATGACCTTTATTTTTTAAAACAACTTTATAGTGTTTTCAGTTTTCGTTTCATTTTTATGACCCTCCTTTTTGTCATTCACCTATCTTACATCACTACATATACATTGCACTTTAGTCTCAAAACTCGACATTTGGGATCTCTTGACTACGTTTGGCCACAGACCCAGTATGAGCCTTGGGACCTCATGTTCTAAAATTCGCTAAAAAAATAATCATAAATTCAAAAATAAATAAAAAAAAGGGGGGGGGGACTCTGTAAAACATACACTTTCAGTCTATAACCTTAAATTCAAATTTGACACTAAGAAAATTTTCATTTCGTAGTTCCACAGAAAATTAAAAATAGTTACCAAACAAATTGTTAATTTTTAATTTTTTTACCAAAATAATTATTGAAAACTGAAATTTTAAATTATAAGACCACACGACTCTAAAAGAATAGATAGTGTCATTTTAAATTACATGAGCATTCTTTTTCTTATCCTCCGTGTATACATAAATATAGAAAAATAATATATAGTAGAAAAGCACTAGTCCACTTAAGTTATATGGGTGGGTTGAAAAGGACCCGAGATCGCGTATGAAGGCGTTATAGCATGAAGGTATCCAGCAAGGCCCATATTTTTACTGTGCATTAGTACTGTATTTCTGTAGGTTTGGATAATGCTTGATTTACCCCTCAAGTCCTCCCAAGAGGTAGCAATGTTTATATATAACATATGAGTTAAGGAATTAATACAACCATCTTCTTCATCATCTGAATATTCAGCTGAAAATTACTATCTATGAAGCTCTTCGGGTTTTCGGTGACGGACCACCGTGACATAGTGCCCATGGTGAAGTTTGAGTGCCACTACTGTGGCCGGAAGTTCGAAAACTCTCAAGCATTGGGTGGACATCAAAACGCACACAAAAGAGAAAGGCAGCTTGAAAGGATGGCCATATTAGAACATGTCCAGCAACATCACCAACCTCCTCCTCCTCCTCCTCCTCCTCATGATCATGATCATGATCAATATCAACGGTCAGCAACAGGTGTCCCCATCATCAATGATCCAATGTTCGTTTCCTCTAGTAGGTCTACAACCGTTGACGGTTGTGCTGGTTATAATACTGCTGGTGGTGCAGTGGTAGCACCCAAAGATCCTCATGGCTTGTACTTGAAACAGATCGCAAAACAAGAGGCTGTTCCGAAAGTGGATGAAGAAAACGACGTCGTCGATCTGCGTTTGAGACTTTGAGTCATGCACACTCCCAACACCCTTGACTTAGTTCTAATATTCCCAGTCCAGGTTTATTTGAAAACATGTATAAAAGATGACAAAGCTTTGGTAAGCTTTCTTTCCATTGTGTGTGTTGAAATTAGGGCTTGTTAAATATAGGTCAATTTTCATGAAGATGTAATGGATGTAGTTAATATACTCTCTCTTTTTAATTATAATCCAGTAATCATGTGTCTCGTCGAGTAAGTAATTAGTATGTCTACAAATTTTAATGAATTTACAAAATATGTCACCATCAGAAATGAAAGTCCTTGAAAACGCCTCCCTAAAATTAAGGCGTCTCTTACAATTTCACAATTTCACACATTGCAATTTCACACATGAAACTCTCAGCCCCAACAGGAAACAAATCTTTGACAATTTCACACTTAATAAATTCAACATTTTTGTTTTCCTTATATCATATATATATAACACATTGCAGCTAATAGCATCAGGTTCACACCCTGTACTTGGGATAGGAAGAAACAGCTCTCTCTTGCTTTATTAAGCCTACCCGCTAAACAGAAGCCATCCATCAAAGTGTTCTAAGTAAATACATCAGGATCTATGCCCCTTTGGGTTGGAACATAACTTTAGCTTTTGCCAGATTTTAGCGTTCGTTGCGGGTAGAAAAACAAGGTGGTATAGTAGTTTGTCCTTATCTGATGAGTTAATCTTTGTATATATATATATATATATATGTATATATACAGTTACCTACTTTGCAGGTAATAGTTTTTTTCTTGGGTTTCCAAAGATCTTTTAATGAAGTTTTATCTCAATATACTTATGTGTGAGTCTACCTCTTGTGGAGGTGTGAGTGTTTTTTTGTTTTTCTATGCTTGTGTCGGAGGTCTGAGAATTCACTTCTTTTCTCATGGTACTTGCTCCATTGTCGAATTGGGTCTTTTTTCGTTTTTCTATGCCTGTATCGGAGGTGGCTTTTGAGTTTAATTACCTCGACTAAGGTAATTTATCTAAACTAGAGGTGATTTATGGATTTAATTACCTGGTGTATGTATAGGTATTACTTTATCTATTATTAAGGTATATATGAAGTTTCCAGTAATTCCGATTACAAGTTTTGAGGTAGGGTATACCTAGAAAAGAGGGCATGTTTACAGTTTTGGGTATAATTTTGTGTGATTTTTGAGACGTGTATGGTGTATTTTCCATTTGTATTAAATGGAATATGTTGTAAATATATCATAATTATCATGACAAAAATTTACCTAATTTATGCTTTATAGGGGCATAATTGGAACAAAAATATAATTAAAAATGAAAAATATAATATGTAGACATCAGAAGATAAACAAAAAAGAACGTAATCCTACATGACAAAAGACTTAAATCAACAACAACAAATATATGGATTGCACCCAACTTCTGTTTTTTATTTTGGACTTATCCCAAATTTTCTATTGAAATTAACTTGCATCTTTCATGGGTTCAATCCCATTTACCAGAAAAGAAAATTTGAATCTTCGAGTTAATTAAGAAAAAGAAAATTTTAAAAACGAGAGCTCAGTTTGCCCTAGCTCTACTCTGTTGCCGCTGACTTTCCGGATAATTTACATTATATATACACAATATTGTATGCTCGTTTCTATTGTTCTTTTTTTGAGAACAAAACAACATACAACAACATCAAAGAAAAGGTGGTGTCCGAATTAGGAGAGCACGGATGGTCCTCGTACTACTTCACTTCACATAGCTAGCTACTTATGATCTTTCAGTGTTCGAGTTAATTAATGAGCAATGTCTGCTTTACAATGTAACAAACAATGTATATGTGGAACATATTTGGACGGTTCAAATTTAAGCAAAAACAATGTAACGAAAGCTATTTCCTTCTGGGAGCTGCACCACGAAGTCGTGGGCGTTTGCATTGCATTGTTGATGCATGCCTCTTCAACCCCTCTTCTCTTTGCAAATTTTTATGTGGTTTAAAGAAAATAAGGACATGTTTGGTATTCTATTCAAAAAAGTAAATTTAAAAATGATGATTTTTTTTATATAAAACACATGAGTTTTCAAATAGTGATTTTAATTTCTAAAAACTTGTTTGGTATTGAACTCCAAACTATTTTTAAGATCTAAAAAAATTGAAATTAAAATAAGAAAATCAGAAACCCAAGATTCCCAAATTGAAATTAGCAAAAGAATTTCAAAAGAAAAGAAGAGAGGGAGAGGGAGAGGGAGGAGAGATAGAGAGGAGAGAGGGATGAGAGATAGAGACGACAGAGGGAGGGGAGAGAGAGAGAGGGAGGTAGAGACGAGAGAGAGAGAGAGAGAGTAAAAAAAAAAGAAAGAGACGAGAGACGAGAAAAGGAGGAAAAAGAATGGGACGGGAGAGGGAGGAGAGAGAGCGTGGAGAGATGGAGGAGAAAGAAAGACACGAGAGAGAAAAAAAAACTATAAAACTTCGCTGTTTTGGTTTTTATAATAAAGGTTTTTTAGGTTTTAGACATAAAAAAAATTTCACTTTTGGAAAAAGCCAAAGCTTTTTCAAAAAAGACAAAAAAACCACTCAACTTTCAAATCAAAGACATGCAAATGTATTGGATTCCTTAGGAAATCTAAAAATAAATAAGGGCATTTTTGTCCAATTTTGCTTCTTTTAAATTTTTTCTCTCTCCTTTTGCTTTTTCCAAAATGTCCCTTTTAATAATTGGGGATGTTTTTGAGTTTTTAAAAATAGGCATACCAAACGAATTTTTGTGACTTTGAACTTATAATCTGTTTCTAAGTTTATAAAATTCAAGTATGTTGGATAATAAAGGGCCTAAGAAACCAATCCACAACTAATCAATCAACAATTATTTTCTTATGGCAAATTTCGTAGCACGTGGACTAGTTTGATAAATAAATAGTTTTCTAGGACCAAGTCAACCCTAAATTATTGGGAGATCCACGTGTACCGAACTGGAAGGTACCCTAAAGAGTAAAGACCATCCAACACTACACGGTGCAGCTCCCAGAAGGAAACGATAGATTATTGTACGTATAGTTTTTGGCCCTCCATGAAAATTCGCTTTCATTTCGAGCACCAAATATTATATAGAATCTAAACAACAATTTGACAAAGTCAGACCATTACTTAAATATTAGAGGAGCATGTTAATTTCAATGATTATTAAATTTAACAATTATATATATATTCACGAATACTATTTCAAGATGCTCATTAATTTGACAAAGAAACCCCGTTTTAATTGTCTTAATTATTTTGAGCGGTTTTGCTTGCGCATAGATAATGGAACACATATCCTCGTCACATCCTCATAAATTAAGACAATGGTTATTTTTCAGCCCTTCCTATTTAATCAAACCTCATTTGACAAATGAGGGCAGCGCAAGTCTCTCTATAAAGTCTCTTTGCTCTTCCATAATAGTTTCTGTCTATCTCTCTCTCGCGCTCTCTCTCTCTCTTTGCTCGTCAACCTTGATCGGCAGGCGAGAAAGATGAGAGAGATGGACGAGATGCGGTCAACTTATATGTCATCCTACGGGCCCAGTGGTGACCGGAGCTTTGACAATGCGGGTTATGCGTGGGAGAGTAAGAAAAATTCATCACGTAAATCTTCGTCAATCTACAGTTTCAGCCAATCAGAGCTTAAAAGACAACGTCGAGTGGCGAAATACAAGTCCTATGTCGTTGAAGCCAAATTTAAATCCGCTTTAAAGAAAGGGGTACGTTGGTTCAAGAACAAGTATTCTACGCTTGTATATGCGTAGATTGAGAGAATGTAAAGGAATCTATCTCAGATCTGCCAAAACATTTTGCGATTTGCATGCATTTGGGGTGTTAATTAGCCTTCAATTAAGGTTGTGTAATTAATTCTTTCAATTTAGTGTGATCCGTCATTCATATTTTCCAGCCAACACTATTTGTTCAATTTTTGTTATGGATTATCAACATGAGAATCATTCTAAAGGCTTTCTGGGATCAATGTGATAAATGTCAATCAAGGTAGTATTATGGCCAATTCTTCTTCTTCTTCTTATGTGATAATTTGTCGAATCTGAAATGTTTAAGCTAGAAATTGGCTCATGAATTCCTTCTTATGATATATGGGATTTACAAAGAGCAAAAAGATGTTTGATCATAGTGCTATTACTACAGTACATTCATATATAATCTAGATCAGCTTAAGGTTTTTGAGAGTATAGCGTACCCTGTTCGACTGCAATCCATAAAGAAATCGGTTACCCAAAAATAAGCGAAGAAGAATGTTTACGTTTGAACTCTTATGAATGTGTTCGTTGGAGAGCTCTCTCTCGACTTTTTAGATGACATAAATCTACAAGCAAATGTCATAGAACCAAAAACGTTTTGGCTTGTAGAATAAAAAGTTGTTGAGTTTTCTAATAATATTATTGTTTTCTTTTATTTATTAAAATTTAGTAATGAAGAGCTAAGAGTATGAAATTTCATTTACCTAGGAAGTCCATACCTACGAGTCAGATATTACATTCTCACTAGTATACTTATAAACATGATAATGCAATTCCATATCTATTCTCAAACCCCTAAATCTTGAACAACACAAGTTATCATCAAGACTTAGAAGACCTATTGATTAGGGGTGGGCATCGCATCCAAAAAATGCGCATACCGACCGTACCGAACCGACAATTTAATTTGGTTAAATTATTATTTTTCATTATTACTTCTTAGGTTTTTTAGGTTTTAGACATAAAAAAAATTTCACTTTTGGAAAAAGCCAAAGTTTTTTCAAAAAAGACAAAAAAACCACTCAACTTTCAAATCAAAGACATGCAAATGTATTGGATTCCTTAGAAAATCTAAAAATAAATAAGGGCATTTTTGTCCATTTTTGCTTCTTTTAAAAATTTTCTCTCTCCTTTTGCTTTTTCCAAAATGTCCCTTAATTCTTCTGATCCGATCTGCACAGAAATATTTAGTTAAAAGACTAGGTAACAATATCCCTAATCCCACGAAAATTCATCCTAAATCGATATTTATAATTCATTTATTATTTATATACACGTCAACTTATTAATGGTTGGATATGAAGGTTATTCTAGGTTGCGAAACACTAGAACATATCACACATTAACCCTAAATTAACTATGCCTCTTTTAGTTTTTCATTCAGTCGCACCCTCAAACCTCAAGCAC